AGCAGTACAAGCTGAGACTGACAGCGGATTTTGTGGTTGTTTTGTCGTCTGTCAAGTTTGTCAAGTGTCAATAAACGAGATCGCCTCAAAAAGGATCGGTGTCCGACTCATCACAACGCAGTGCAGATTCCACCGGTTACATATGTTCTGTCTGTAGTAAGTGTAACAATGAACTATAAAAAAAGGCCTGAGTCATTATGATGAATGGAGAAGAAGTGATTTTCCATTCATCATAGTGTTTTACATTGAGCACATCAGTATTCAACTGGTTCTTATAAATGTCTATTCATATGGTGGTTTTGAAAACAAAACAAAAAAACATTTTGAGAAGAAATAACATTGAATGTAAATCTTCATCTTGCAAGAGAATTGAGGGGTTTTGCCCATCGTGTGTGTGTGTGTGTGTGTGTGAGGCATGCTTTCAGGAAATGCGTGTAAACAATCGAGATAAAGGTAGGAGATGAGGAAACTTAATTTAATGAACAAGGCTGACTGACTCAGAGATCATTCGATGAGAGTAGTGAGGTTGAAACAGAGTGTGAAGTGATTTTGACAGCTTGACAAAGAGGATAGAGCAGCACAGAATAAATATCCCATATTCACCGAAAACAACAGAATATCAGTGGACAGACCTTCATGACTGAAGCTTCTTCTGAAAACATGCAGCATCTGTAACGCTTTAGAATGAGTCGGGGAAATGCTTTTACGATGTTGGCAAGAAAAAAGCAAATGTCTATTTAATTTTTTTTTTTTTTTAATAAAAAAATAACTAGAGAGCCCTGAGCAGAGGGACATAGTTGCCCAACGTATGCATGTTTACCTGATTGTTTTACTGTGCGCCTACTTGTGGATGAACTTGCCTTGATTTTGCCTTAAAATGATCCATAATGTAGCAAGAGCTTAGTCTATCATGTAACTCAGATATTTTGCATGCTTCAGTTTGACCTTGACCGTTCGTCCAAGGTCAAATGTCACATCACCAATATGGATTCCTATCTGATTGTAATTTTTTTTTTAAACATGTGTTTATCTTACACCTTTTCCAAGTTATAATGAATTTAAAATTTGTGATGATTTAAGACCTTGTGACCTTGACCTTTTCCTCAGAGGGCATATGTTACATCACCAGTTGACGGTGGCGCACATGGACGCAGCGCCCCCTTCAGGAGACAGTGAGTGTGAACGTTTAGTGTCTTATCCCAGACATGAATTCCGTAAAACTTACTAATTAAATAATCCTGAAGAAATGCTCTCTCATCTTGCTTGTACTACTATGTATGTACAGCAAAATGACAATAATCCTGATTTTATTTTTCCTTTGATTTGACTTATAGGCCTTGAATGTCTTCCTAAGTTAGTAAACCAAACTTATGTCATTTTGTGCATTTTCAGTCATAAAGAGCTTTTTTGGGAAATGCAACCTTTGACCTCTGTAGTCGTCACTAATGCACGTATTGACCCTAAAATCTAATCACTGAGAGAGGGGACCACACTGAGGTCATGTATGAAGTTTCAGGTTCAAGCTTCTCTCCTGTTAAGCTCTGGCCTGTTAACAACTCTGTTAATCTGTTAACACTGTTAACATAACTTAAAATATAATAACATCTGTTACAATCACAGGCAAACACAATCTATTTTTAATGTTATGTTCTTATCAACATCATTCAGAAATCCACAGCATAAAAGTTAGTAAAAGTATCTGAACACCACAGTTCATGACAGCAAAAGTGAAGTCAGGATTTATCAAACATAACTCTTATCTCTTTATTACTCCTCATCATAACAACTCTAAGCAATGACAGAAATCAGATACAAACAAACAAAGAAAAAACACCCTTTGGAACCACTACCTGCATTAGCCAATCAGCTGTCTTTGTTTTCCCTCAGTCCAAACCAGATTTTCACACAACACACCCACTCAGAGAAAACGAGTCCATCTGCCACAGTTCAAGTAGTGACTAACCAGGTGGAGGCAGCTATGGACTATGATCAGCAGGTAAGTTTCTGAAATAATACATGAGAACATAAAGTGTATGTATAGAAAACAATGCAAATAGACTGTGCTGATACCATAAACAGAATATATAAAGAACCTTATTGAACTGTTGCATGGTATAACTTCTCTGTCACTCAGATTTGAGCTTAAAGAGCGCATTCACCACCATCAGAACAACAGCTAGATGTTTGTAGAATGCTTTGTCATGCCTCACAAACAAACAGAAAGTGCAATCAGTAATAACTACGATTACAGTGACTAGAAATAACCATTATTCTAACAAATGCAACAGCCGTTTAGCCCTGAACTGGATGTAATGTAGGTAAACCTGTTTTCTAACAGGGCAGGGAGTGCAGCAGGGTGGAGACTTGTCTCAAACTGTTGTTTTCAGTCTTATTTACTGGGTTTTGTTTGGAACACAGGTCGAGCACATTGAGACCAATGCCAAATTTGGAGACCTGATAGAATTTGACTACCCCATCGGATTTTCACACTGGGGAGTCTACGATGACGACGGATATGTGATCCATTTTGCTGTTCCAGGTGAGGAAAACGAGTGCATTTAACTGCTTGAACTGCACTAAAATCCCCACCGTTCTCCTGACCACACAGACACAAGTGAAGAGTGTCATTTAAGGATGAAAAACCCACTTGTGCTATGATCAATTTTAAGTCAAAATGCAGCCAGATTGGAACAGCAGTGCGCTTTCTCACATAAATGCTTTGAAATCTGATTTTTTAAAAANTGTACCATTCATCTACTGCGTAGCTTTGCTCTCTGTGGACACAAACGTCAGTAACTTACTGAATTGACTGACATTTCAGTAGACTGTAGTTAAATACACAGATAATAGAGTAAAGTGACAGATTTTACCTGCAGAGATGAAGTAAAATGCAAAGAAAGACGTTTGTTGTAGTCCCGACTTCACCTACTGCTGATGAAACTCTGTTTCTCTCTTTTTCTTTTTTACTCTGCAGCAGCAGCAGCTTATGCTTCATCCTCAGTTTCATGAAACATGTTTTATATGAGTGATGTGGGTTCTGCAGTTCCTCTATGTGTCTCTGTTTTAAAACATACATTTTGAATATTAATGCAGTCGGTCTTCAAGAAGCACACTTAAGTGAACACATTTAGAGGAAAAATAAATCATAAAACTAAATATTAATTCATCAATTTGTCAAATTATTACACAAACACACCTAAAAACCATTTCCTTTGATTTCCTCCCACCAGTGATTTAAGTGCAATTTAAAGTTTATTACAGCCGCAAACATGCAAAAGCTGAAAGCTGAGGTCAGGAGGAGGAAGTCGGGGGTCGTTTCCTTGGGGGGGACTTCCTCTGGTTTACTCCGTCTAATTCTAATAATGAAACGGTTTGATAATGTTCTCCAGTATTAGAGGTCTGTGCTGACAGCAGCAGCAGAGAAGAGGTGCACATGACCTGTCACTGACATCCGTGGACTAAATACTAAGATATTCTCAGAATGTAATTATATTTATTACATTAAACATTATATTCATTATAGAGTTGTGTGCCAACATCTTGCTCAGTCAGGAAAGTGACAAAATAGCAGATGTGTACTTTTAAAGGACTGTTCACATATTGAATACAAGAACCTCAGAAAAATAATGTGAAAGAAAGTAAATGTTTAGACTTTGAACTTTTAGTCAAAACAAATTTTTAAAATTCTCATAAAGTTGTNAACACTCAGCCTTGGGTGATGCTTCAGGGTCAAACTCAAAATGAAAAAATTGTTGATATTGCCATTATATTTTAAATAACATGTAATGTATACATGGATAGTACCCATTTCCCCTTGGACAACCAGCCAACCATGATTAGTGAAAGAAAATACCTATTTTGTGGTAAGTTGGACGGAATAATGGTTGACTGGGGTTCAGTGCAATCATGGCTGTCAGGGGCAGCTACATCCCTCTGCTGAGGACCCTCCAGCTACTTGAGTCTTTACTGAGACTGAAAGACGAGATTGTTGCACATTCTGACAATACATTTTCCTGTTTTTTTGTTTTGTTTTGTTTTAGACGAGGGGCCAGTTATGAGCACAATACGTAGTTACCTGCAAGCCGTCGTCCAGGTATGTGGAGACCTTCTTCTTGGGGAAACCAGGATCCGTAGAGTGCGTCTTGCTGAAATTAACGTTCCCCAAGGAGCCCATGTCTTGGTCAGAAACAACGGCCACGCTTTCCCTCCATCAGCGCCGGAGGACATGAGGCTACGTCTGGATGCTCTTCTGGATCATCACTTCCAATATCAGCTTTTCACTCTAAACTGCGAACACTTTGCTACTTTCATACGCTACGGAAAATCTGTCTGCAACCAGGTAAACATTTTGCCACTGCAACTAAACAGACTTGCGGTGATTGTAGTTATAATTTGGAATATGTTGATATGTTGTGAGATGCAGCAATGCAGTAACTTCCTTGTTTAGACCGAACAATGACTGAATGACCATTTGAGACTAAAGTGGGTACTTCCAACTCAGGTAATCAGATTTTTAGAACAATTTCTGCTCCTCGATCTCTGATTTTCCAATTTTTTTTATAGCTAAAAGATGGAACTTTATAAATTAATATTCAAAATTGATATGTCAATATCTCCAAGTTAATAACAAAGTTTAGAAACTTGTTTTACACTTTGAAATTTGAGACTGTTTCAACAACAACATCTGAGGAACTGTTAAAGATAAAAGCTCAGCAAAGTTCAATGAAAAGTGCTTTTTTTTATTTTCATGACCTTGTATTTAATATTTAAAAATATTCTCTATGTTTTGTGTCATTGTGACATGCAGCCACATGTGGTTCAGAAAATATCAGTAGTTAATTTATTAATGCTCAATTTCCTCGTTAACTTGTGCTCACATTTTATATATTCATTTTATTTTCATATTTCAACTCACCCACAATCAGAGAATCTTTGATCTACTTGCTCAGTGCTGAAGATTCTGAATCAATAAAATGATGAGTAATAACAATGAAAGTTTCAGGCTTCTATCTTAAGTAGTTCCTTAGATATTGACATACAAACAAAGTGAGTTGACATGCAATTTAAAAATTAATACTTTTTTTTTTTTTTTTAATGAAAATGTCACAGATGCTATTTTAAATATCCATAGTTTACGATATCAAAAAGTTTCAAGCTAATCAGAGATGGTTGAGCTGAAGGCCTTGATGATTTAAGATGGAATAACCCAACTGTAGGAAGGAAAATTATAAAATATTTATATTATATAAACAGCTGGAGATGACAATTTAGCTGTAGCCTAAAATTCTTATCTAACCAACGAATTATGTCTATTTCTGCCATCTGAGCTGCTTTGAGGACATATTTGATCACAAGGTATATGGTTTTCTTTTCTTTTTTTATCAGATCATGAGTATATTTAAGTAGGAGCTGTTTTTACCTTTTGACATGTTTTGACCACCATGTGAAAACAGCTCCTACTTAAATATAGTCATTGTCTGATAAAAAAAGAAACCCGTATACCTATAATCAGAGTAGACAAAATGAACGTCATCACGCTATTCGGGAGATTTGATCCCTAACAGACTGCTAATCTGTTATTTTTCCAACAGATTCCTACAAGACCCAAGAACGTGGAGAATGTCGACGCAACTGAAGTGTTTCAAGCCATCGTCGATTCCAAACAAACGGCTGAGGACGATGCTGAATGAGCCCTTTTAAAAACTTACATTTTCCGTTTATTAAATGAACTGAGCTCTACTCACGGTCTAGATTAGATTAGATTAGATAGAACTTTATTGATCCCTTTCGTGGGGGTACCTCAGGGAAATTGTTGGTCGAGCATGCCACCGCAAACACTGAAGACTTTCTCTTTGGCCCTCTATGGAACTGGGATTATTTTTCTTTTGTCAGTTACAGACCGGAAAATATGAGTTATTGGGCTGCAACTAATTGTTGTTTTGCATGCTGATAAATCTGTAAATATCACATAATAAACTGAACGATGGTTTTGTAAGTAAAGATATGCTATTGATGATTTATCCAGCCAACATCCCCAAAGCTATTTGAGTTGCACCAGAACAGTTTGGTAATGGCTTCAATTTCTATCTATCTATCTATCTATCTATCTATCTATCTATCTATCTATCTATCTATCTATCTATCTATCTATCTATCTATCTATCTATCTATCTACTTTGTTCTTCTACCAAGGTGACCATTGATGTGGTAAATGGTTTCCACTTGCACGAGGCCTTTAACCTGAACTAGGTTCTAAAAAGTGGTTAACAGTGTGTTTCTGATTCACCCACCAATGGAAGCAACCCTGGGTTCAGTGTGAATCCAGCATCCACCCTTGGGATTGGTTAAGAACCTGCTCCAGCATGAGAACCAGGTCCGCCCCGCCTTCATCACTCCACACACATCCGCTGTATGTAGTGTGAATAACCAACAAAAACACATGCGTCACTGTGATAATCGTAACAAACACAGCACAGCCATGACTACAGACACACTGACGGTTGTGTCAGCTTGAGGCTGGTGTCATAATAAGGGCTGCAGTGTCCCGGCCCTGACAGAGCTGCTGAACCAGCTCCTCTGGTTTTCTGTCTGACTGCAGCGGTGCAGATTTCTGCCCGTCTGCCTGCCAGACGCAGCTGAGATTACGCAGACTGCAGTCAAATCCAGCAGTGGTCTACTGTCATGCATGATGTCATATCACAATGCAACTGTTTGGGTCAAAGGAAGTACAAGCAGTGTTGCAAAGTAACGCCAATGTCACGGTCTGGAGTTTGGTTCAGTTATTTCCTGTTTTATTTTGTAATCATCCCGGTCCATGTGGATCTCTTGTAGTTTTACTTCCTGTCTTTCACTCCTTTGTATTTGCCCTCATTAGTTTCACCAGCGTCTAATCTCACCTATTAGTTCTCTCTGTATATCTAGTCTTTTGTCATCTCCTGTCTTTTGTCAGTTTGCCCTGTTTTTCTTGAATTTAATCTACTTGTTCACCTGCCTCTTGTTTTCCTGCCTGGATTCTCTGTTGTCTTCCTCATGCTGGCTTGTGCATTTTTGTTCTTTTGGATTTTTGTTTTCTTTAGTTATATTATCATTTAGATTTCTCTTGGACTTTTTTTTTTTTTTTTTTTAAATCCCTCGTTTGCTCCTCACCTTGCAAGTTTTGTTTTATTAAAATATTATTTTAAACTTATGGCAAGCTAAGCCAAAGGTATTCAATAGAAACATTCCTGCCGTGACCTTCCAGGGACTTATCAGGTTAAATGAAAAAAAAAAGTGAACCTCCCAATCAGCAAAACAGCACTAGACTGGGACTTTTCAGTTAGAACATTACAAACTACATCTTGGTATCTCCATTGCATGTAAACACAAACTGCTTTTTAGGGAGAACACAAAGACACAAGTGAATAAAATCCATGTTGGAGAAATAAACACAATGCGATTCCTGCATGTTTTTCAGGATGTACTAATACTCACCCTAAAGGCAGTTTGCATCTTAACCCCCCTGGTTTTGTTTTTGTTTGTTTGTTTTCCCCAGGTTTGGTTCCTTCCCACCGTTGCCGAGTGTTTCCTCTTAGGGATTGTTGGGTTCTCTGTTCAAAATTCGTAAGGTCTGTACCTTACTATGTTAAATGCTCTGAGATGACATAGGCTGTGAATTCACAGTGTATAAATAAAACTGAATTGAACAGATTTCACCATCATTTGCTATATTTAGAGGAGCTGAACAAGATTTTACTTCCAAAACCTAAAAGCTGCAGTGACACCAGTACACCAGTATTTCCATCCATCCATTATCTATACCCTGCTTAATCCTCCTAGGGTCGTGGGGGGCTGGAGCCTATCCCAGCTGACTCAGGGTGAAGGCAGGAGACACCCTGGACAGGTCACCAGTCTATCACAGGGCTACACTTAGAGACAGACAACCAAGCACACTCACATTCACACCTACGGACAATTTAGAATCACCAATTAACCTCAACATGTTTCTGGACTGTGGGAGGAAGCTGGAGAACCCGGAGAGAACCCACGCTGCACGGGGAGAACATGCAAACTCCACACAGAAAGATCCTGGTGTCCTCACTGGGACGTGAACCGGCAACCTTCTTGCTTCGAGGCAATGATGCTAATCACCGCTCCACCTTGCAGCCCTACAACAGTATTTGATGCCTTGAATTCAGGACACATTTCATCAACTCCTGGAGGCTCTCCACAGCACATAGTAGCAGAACTGAACACTGGACAAAATGTTTCACTTTTGAGTTACAACTTGAGGTCTGTGGTCTGTCACTGTGGATAAGATTAAAACTGCTGATGACAAATTCTGTATGTAAATCTTGCCACAGGTCCCTACCACATGCTCAGTGCTGCTCAGTGTAACCCACAATAGTTTGCAGAGCTCATATTTCAAAGGTGTTTTTCAAAAGTCGTTTTGAGGGTTAAGACTTGGTTTTAGTGTTAAGATTCAAATTAGGTGTAGAGAATGACAGTGTGCGTGTGTGTGTGTGTGTGTGTGTGTGTGTGTGTGTGTGTGTGTGTGCGCGTGTGTGTGTGTGTGTGTGTGTGTGTGTGCTCCCAGGTGCCTGACAGAGATTTCGGTGTCTAAACGTTTCCAGTGGAAGAATTTAACCTCTGAACTCCGAAGAAAAGTGCTTTTTATTCATAAGTCAGAAAGCGGTGGACACACAGTCGTGCACACAACAGTCACAAGCGGACACACTAATAAGTGCATATGGGAATACGACACGGACGTCCACTTAGTTATAGGTTGCCAAGATGATTCATGAGAACACGGTGCGCGATCATTTCCCTAAAGGCCAAACCTTTGACCCTTGCAGTTGCAAAGAGCAGTTTGGTTCTGGCTCTGAGCGATCACACCCGTACAGTTGTCAGTGCGTCCTCCTCTTCCTTCACCTCACTGTGTCCCATCCATCGCTCCTCACCTCTAACTCACCTTTACTCTTTGACTTCTCCAGATTTCTCCACGACATTTTTTTTTTTTTTTTCCCGGCCACCGCACCTATACTCACGGAAGATACAAGCAAAGCAGAGAGTTGAAAAGAATTATGGGTTTCCTGGAATGTTTTTGTCACAGCTACTCACTTTCAGAAGTTAGCATGTAATTTCCTGCAGCTTTTTGTTTTAATATGCTCCCCGACTTGACGGATGAACTGAACAGAAACACATCGCAGGCGATCACGTTCATGATGAACTGACTGAGCATAGACGTATTCTCTCTCTCTACCATCCTCTCACAGTCGTCACATGTAAGTTTGTTTGATCAGATAGTTTTAATTCAGAGATGTATTCGTTTTATACCACCTTAAACTGCAACTCTACACATATTTAACATATATAATTAATAGACATTTTACAGATTGACGTATTTCCTACTCAGTGTACCCTCATCATCATCAATGCTTTAAAATATAATACACTGTCCCTGATTAATCTGAACAGCACCACATAAAGTAATTAGCTCCACCTTCAGGAGCTGCCCTGCAGTTCAGAACTTTTGTCTCTCCCTTCTGGCAGTGAGAGTAAATACACTTTTAACACTTTTTTTTTTTTACCTTAACCCTTCCTCTCAACTTTCTTTGTCAACCGGAACATCAACAAACTTTTGCTCTCTAGGTTCTTCCTCCATAGGCCCTGCCATACTTGTAGTTGTTGTAAGCAACAGTTGCTCTCTTTTTCAGGTCTGGCAAACTAATCATTGCCGGTTGACACATGGCCATGAGCGCACCAGTATCAGAGTGATGCTGCAGACACCAGATTTAAAACTCCATACTACACTAGGAAATATAAACATTTAATCCTCTCTGGGGTCATGGGGGGCTGGAGTCTATCCCAGCTGACTCAGGGTGAAGGCAGGGGACACCCTGGACAGGTCACCAGTCTATCACAGGGCTACACTTAGAGACAGACAACCAAGCACACTCACATTCACACCTACGGACAATTTAGAATCACCAATTAACCTCAACATGTTTTTGGACTGTGGGAGGAAGCTGGAGAACCCGGAGAGAACCCACACTGCACGGGGAGAACATGCAAAAGTCCACGCAGAAAGATCCCGGGTGTCCTCACCAGGACGCGAACCAGCGACTTTCTTGCTGCGAGGCAACGATGCTAACCACCGCTCCACCTTGCAGTCCATGAAATAAAATAAGACAGATAAATAAATTAAAATTGTTTCTGTTATTAAAATACAGACAGAAATTGGAAAAACAGAGTAAGAAATGATTTTTTAAAAATGGATTAATGAACTGTACATAAAATACACTAAAACATGTAGCCAGGAGAGAAAAATGGAGAAATCAACAAATAAAATTTGTTCTCAGAAGGGTAATGAATAAATAAAATCTACCAAATCAATCAAAAATCTGACTGAAAATGTAAGCCTTGAGTTAACTTTGAAAAATATCAACACAAAGAAGTTTAATATACATTGTAGATGCTTTAATGAACTGGAAATGTTGGTCAAAATATATATATAAAAAAAAAACAACTGAAATGTAACGAATGTGACTGTTACGCCCTCTGCTGGCAGTTAGTGGCAGTTCTCCCTCTTTCTCTCCTGGTGATTGGCGGCGTGGCATGACAGGTGAAAGCAGTTCACAATCAGCTGATGAGATCAGCTGGGAGTGATTACCTGCAGCGTCTCCTCAAACAGATAAAAGCCACTTCCAGACCATGACACGGCGCCAGATCGTAAAAACAGCCTGGTTAGTCCTGTCTGATCTTCTCAGCTCTTCTGTCTGAGTGTTGGCCGCAGTCTGACCATTTTCTCTATTCCAGTTGGAGCGCCTGTCTTCCTCTACCGTAACCCGGACAACCCATCTATTGGACCCCTCCAGCTTTCCACCTGTCTGCCGCTGCCACTCGCCTCTCTCCGTCTGCCTTGAACTCCTCTTCCTCGCTACCCAGCCCCGATTGAGTAATGTGCCTAGCGACACTAGTTTAAATGACTGTGTTGCTGTTTGTTAGTTAGCCTGTTTGTCAGT